AAGTATGGAGACAAGTCCTTTGTCCGAGGCTAGGAGAAGATCATTGGTGACTTTCACCAATGTGGTTTCTGTACTATGATGGACTCTAAATCCTGACTGAAAATCCTCAAACAAATCATTCTTGTGCAAGTCATGACCGCAATTCATAAATGTAGGCTATACATGAGCTTTATGCATCAATAACATGAAGCCTACACTTAAATAATAGCAAATTGTTTGGGATGTTGTGATGATTATTTGTTTATTTATTTATTTATTTATTTATTTGCATTTAGCCCTGTCTACCAAGGCTGCCTGTAAGAGCCTGGCCAAGTCTCTCTCCGTTTGTTCTCCAAAGTCACTCATTCTGTGAAGCAGCATCACTGCAGGATGAGGATACTGCTCAGGCTGACGCAGTTGTCTCCCAATACAAGGACAGACCTTGGGATTACTTGGAGAGTGAAGGTACATTAATGAAAATTAAGGCCGATCCTTACCCCTTACATTTGGTTTTACCATGGTCTCATTTCCTTTTGACAGAGTACATTGAGAGATATGGAACCAATCCAGTGTGGGCATGCTACAGGAGGAACCACAAAGGAGGCATTCCCCCACAGAAGACACGCAAGACCTGCATTGTAAAATTAGTTTGAATCCACAAGATACATTGGTTTAGGTCCATACATAACATCTGTAATTTAAACCAACTTTAACATTGTTTTTCTTTCTGCAGAGAGGAGACAAGATATGTGGAAACCCCTGTCCAATTTGTCGAGATCCAAACATAGTTGTCCACCATCAGGTGGGTGAGCATCTTGTAGTCCATCGTTCTTTAAACACACATGCACTCTTGTGTTACAGTACATATTAGTATCATGTTATACGCCAGTAAAGAAAACAGTGTTGCCTTAAAAAAAAAAAACAGGACCAAATCACTGTCAGTTATGGAGTTGTGAATGCAGAAGGCAGGTGTTTTTTTTTTTTAAAACAGTTTATAGAGAAAACTGTGATCTTGAATCTAATGTAAATGTTATAAGTGTCATAATAATAAGTGTCATGGAGTAAATATTAATTAGTTGTCTCATTTCTTCCTAGAGTATGCTAACCCAAATGTATTGTCTGTTGTAGAATGTGAAATTGCTGCAGCAGTTTATTAGTCCTGAAACTGGAATGGTGTATGATCCCACTCGAACCGGTAAGTTATCAAACTGAGCACATGTATTGATACATAATGGTCTTTCAGTTAATTAGTGACTCATGTTCTCACGGTCCTGTCTCCAGGAGTGTGTATGAAACAGCATAAGAAGCTGAATGAGGCAATTGGCACAGCACAAGATCATGGTATGTAACACAAAACAAGCCTTGATATGAAAAAATGGAGTGCTTTTCAGCCCCTTGGAGGTCTTGGGTACAGATTACTTCAAAGATATAAAAAGTAACATGTACCTACAGGTACTGTCAGTAGTGCCCCCTAGGTCCCCTGTATAACTATATATTTTTTAAACAGCTTTTATGTTGGATTTAGCCGTCCCTGGTAGGCTAGTGGTTAAGGTGCAGCGCTCTCACCGCTGCGTCCCGGGTTCGAATCAGGGTTGCATCAGGAAGGGCATCCGGCGTAAAACATGTGCCAAATGTCAGCAAGCGAGTAGTCAATGTGACGATTCGCTGTGGCGACCCCTAAACGGGAAAAGCCAAAAGTGACTTTCTTTCATTCTATTTTGGATTTGTACATATTAGGTAACACTGTATTTTAGGACTGAGGCTGCATACAGTAACTGATGATTTACTCAGTGTTACTAAGTATCCATGTATTCAAGTAGTTTGCAACTGAGTCAGGTGAGAGCCACACCACCTGGCCTAGGAGGAAAAAGACAGCAGCTGAACTACGAGAAATTGGCACATTCCCAGTAGGGTTGCAATGGTATGAGATTTTTACCATATGATAACGTCACAGAAAACATCACTCTCTCACAGTATTACACAATTACTATTATTATCAGCTACAGTGTACCTTAAAGGAACAAAATCAAAAGGGTCCTTTTGAAGTGCAAGTGACTATGATTTGATTTTTGATTTGATTTTATTCTTTCAAACATGTAGAAACAAATGATATCAACACACACATAATTTACACAAATCCAACCAATGCTAATCCCGAATCAGTTTGCTTATACCTAGTACATGTTTGAATGGAGTAGGAAGAAGTCAGACTTATCCAGTCCTACCCCATAACATCATCTTATACAAAAAAGTTCATGCAGCATAGGCTGCAAACAGTATCTCTACATAGGTAATTCTCTTCTTCACCAGACAATATACAGAAAATTTAAAACAGAGTGTTTCATTCATGCATTCTTGATTACATCTCTTATTCTTGCATATATCTTGAATGACACATACTTTTATATTTATATTTAAACTCCTCAATTCTAGTACTCTTTTTCATGTCCACACTTAAATTATTCCATAATTTGACCCCACTTATAGAAATACAAAATCTTTTTTTGGTTGTACGTATAGCATGAACTTTTAGATTTAACTGACCCCTTAAATTGTATCCCCCTTCCCTTTCATTAAATAACTTTTGAATTCCACCAGGTAATAAGTCGTTCCTGGCTTTATACATAAACACAGCAGTCTTATATTCCACTAAATCAAAGAATTTTAACAATTTAGACTGTATGAAAACTACATTTGTGTGATCCCTATACCTCATATGCACAATTCTTATCGCTCTTTTTTGTAATATGTACAATGGTTGAAGTGAACTTTTGTAAGTGTTTCCCCAGTTTTCAACGCCATACTCTAAGTATGGTAAAATCAATGAATGAATACAAAATGCGAAGTGCTTTCACGTCCAGCATATATCTAACCCTTGCCAATCTACTATGCCAATAGACTTGACTCTAAAGAATAATTGGAATTATAAACATGATAAAAAATATAAAAAAAGCATATAACCACAACATGTTATATAACTTAAACATGTTAGTTTGCATGTTACTACAGTAATACAGAAGTGTTCACATAGTAAAAGTACTATCACACTATAAAAGTAGCCTACTTGGTTACAGGTAAAAGTCCTGCACTGAAAATGCTGAGTACAAATAAATATTATCATAAAATGTGCTTACAGTGTTAAAAGTAGGAGTAGGTTACTCAGGGCAGGAAAATGTTATATTATACTGTATTTCCTGTACTGCTACGCTGTTGTATGTTGGGCATCATTACCAGCCTGTCACTCATGCACTAATGTAAAAGTAGGACGCGACTATTGTTGCTGGTTAAGCTGCAACTCTGCTGAACTAGGTTGTGTCCAAGTGATTATTATTGATTATTTTCATTAGGGATTAAACTGCTGATTATTTTCTCCATTAATTGATTGAATGGTTTGTAAAACAGTAGTGAGTCATGTCATTCATTCTTTGGGGGTCATGGGGCGGAGCCAATCCCGGCCGGCAATCAGGGAAAGGCGGGGTACACCCCGGACAGGTCGCCAATCCATCGCAGGGCTAACACAGACGAACAACCACACACACTCCTATGGGCAATTTAGCGACACCAATCAACCTAAGCTGCATGTCTTTGGACTGTGGGAGGAAGCCGGAGTACCCGGAGAGAACCCAAGCAAGCATGGGGAGAACATGCTAACGAATGTGTTAACGGTGGCTGTTACACTTGCAGGCCTCTGCTGCTGTGTTCATTTTGTGCAAACAAAATTAATGATTTGAATTACTTAATACTTTTATACATGGGTATTGAATACTACTGTGCACCACTGTTGAATCAGGTGCTCTGTAACTGACTTGACATTTTAAGAGCATTTGCCTTTATATATTAAAGTAAATATAATTTTAGGTATCATTCTGACACCCTGTGTCCTCTTTCAGGCTTACTTCCTTTTCAGATTCCATATGCAGAATTTTCAGGAGAGGACTACTCCAATTCCCATGATGCGGTGGGGTCCAGTCCACCCCCTCCGTGCTTAATCTCTGGTGATGCCTGGTATAAATGGTATGGCAAAATAACACCTGATCAGAATGAAGTGGCTAAAGTGAAGAAGATGTACAAGGCTTACCTGAAGTGATGGAAACTACAGAACTGCTTCTGTCCTGTTGAGAGGAGAGCTTTCAGCTGGCACCAGAAACTTTCCTGTGTTCAGGCCAGCTTTTTGCTAAACATGTACATGTTTTTGGACCATGTGAATTTCCACCCTGTCTTATGTACATACAACCTGAACAATAAATTACATGATAAACAAATTTTATTGTTCAGCTTAGCATTTTCACCACAGGTCATTTTTCAGTTTCTTCCTCCCCTTACATTCATAAAAATGATTTGCGTTAGTTACGATGCACCAGAAGAAGAGAAAGGCACCCTGAAGAAGTGTTAATTTTTTTTTTTTTAAATCAGAGTTGCTTTGGGATGTGCTCAACAGTCCTGATGAAGTGTGGGCAGCGTATGATGGAGGGACACCGTGTAGCAGAGCGGTGTGTCCTGGCAGTGGCTGCATGATCACACGTTGACCTTGCTGACCATGGTTTCTCCCAGGGCCTCCAACACTTCCCGCTTATAATCATCAAAGTCTCCATCAATCTGGTTGATCGCATAGTCCTCCACTACCCACAGCTGGCACTGAGTCTCTGTAATAAGCCGGGCGTCGTGACTCACAATGATCACAGCTGGACAAGAAGGGACAGCATGTTAGTCCTGTAGACCCAAACCACTGCTTTGGTATTTTAAACATGTGGACAGCTTTGACAACTGATCAATCTTTGGAACGTAGTCTTAGCTGTTCCAGGTTTCTCTGTTCAGGCCTCGGTCACTGACTGTCAAACACACACTCCCAACACAGAGCCCGATCCATGCATTCTAGGCCAATATTGTCACCTAATTTTAATTTTAGCATATTACAGATAAAACTATCTGAAAGACCGTTTCCACCAGGACAATAGAACAGGAAAACATGCTGGAATTCACAGATGAGTAATTTATTATATATTTAACTCAAAATTATGAAGTGAGAAGCGGAATCTATTTACAATTTTACATTTTTTGACTTAAGTCTCAATATTCAGACTTGATCTATTGATCCACTTGTATAACGATGAAATTATAATGGACAGTCAAAACAAAGATTTGACTGTCCATTATAATTTGTGTTTCAGAGCTAGAAATACCCCCCGTACCGATGCAGAACTTCACACCAAAGCAATGCTGTGTGATTGTCTGCTTAAAAAATAAAAGAACATTTTGGTTTAGTACACTGTGGCTCTTTTAAGAATACCGTGGGCCACACTTCATATTCAATAATCCAAAGTCTGACTACATGAGTAATTTGAATAATACTGAAATGACAACACCGAGTCAGTTTGCAAATTGGAGTAGAAATTTTAAGTGTGTGGTTGCCTACCAAGGCAGTGTTCAGCTCTCAGTACTCTTGAAGCCTTTAATGTAATCTCTGCGGTTTGGAGTGACAGAGCTTTATATTTACACTACATTTTTACTGGATCTTACCTCCTTTGTATTCATTGATGGCTTCTGATAAGGCATCAATTGATTCAATGTCCAAGTTGTTGGTGGGCTCGTCCTATGTGAGGGAAGGACAAAGTTAGCTATAGAATATATTAATTAACAGTGTAAAAAAGGCTCAGCGGTCCTTACCAAGATCAGTACATCAGGCTGACGACAGGCCAGTTCAGCAAACACTACTCTGGCCTTCTGACCGCCTGTTACGGATCAAATCCATACACCGTGTTACAAAATATCTCTATCCTGACAGCTGACAAATGTTTAATTATTCATGTTCATACCAGAGAGTTTGGAGATCTGAATGGTGTGGGCGTGGCTCTCCAGGCCAAAGCGTCCCAGGCACTTCCTGCCATCCTGGTAGGGAAGGTTGAAGTTCCTCATCAGGTACTCTGTGGCAGTCTCCTCCATGTTCAACTGATCAGCATACTGCTGGTTGAAGAAGCCCACTTTCTGAAGGCAGAAAACATCCCAGTTATTGTACAACCTTTCTTCATGTGAACTCACCAATACTCTGGAGCCACTATGAAATGTGAGCAGTCAGCAGCTTGTATAACAAAGCCAGTCCTTGTGGTGGAGCTAAAAGTACTGTTTACACATCAACTTCATCGCACATTCTGATATTCTAATTGGTAACTTTAGCAGGCTATAGGCCATATGGTATTTTCTGCTGAGAAGAGTTTGCAACCTTGTGCTCAATAAGCTGGAAGTACACTAAAGTAGTCAGCAGCTGAACCCCTCCTGTTAACAACCAACTGAACTGGCTCAGCACTTTTTATCACAATGAATGTAACTTTGTTTCATAAAATCAAAGTTTCATCTGGCAAGTACACCTTGTACCTGACAGGTTAAGCAAACTGTCTGAAAACAGTTCCATTCTAGAGACACTCTGGTTTAGGCTACAGGTAGGTCAGAGTGACGCAGTGTGAGAACACCACTAACAGTGTATAGTACACACTAAGAGTCTATCGGCAACAGTTGCATTACTCACCAGACGATGATTCTTCCTCATTTCACCTTTAGTCTAAGAAAGACATCAAGTCAACTCAGTAACATGACAGTGGCAAGAATAATTGCTTTACGTGAATTCTTTGAAATGACCTTGTTTTCTTCATCAGCTCATAAAAACTTATTAACAAATGTTAACCAGTTCCAATGATGCCTTTTAAGTTTTCAGCCGTTTTCCCTGGGCATTCTGCACTGTGTCATCTTAGATGAGAGACTTCTAGAGAAAGCTTTGCTAAATCTGTGCATGTCTGAACGATATATTCATGTGGACAAGAATAATTCCAAAGGACTCACTCACTTTGTAACTAGATATTTAAAAATAGATGTATAAAGATGCTTTTGCATATCCACACACTTACAGGATTTATTTTCCCAGTTAGCAGTAGCAGAAGGGTGCTCTTCCCAACACCATTGGGTCCCACTATGCAAACTAACAGAAGAAAAAAAACCCGTGTCAATGAAATAAACAGTGAAAAGGTGAATGCTAGACTCTGCTTCATTAGATACTTACTCCTAGATTCCATGTCAATTCCAAAGTCCACATTTTTGAAGAGAAGCTTCTGATCCTCATAGCCAAAGTCAACACCTTTACAGGGGAGAAAGCATGGAGAGTAATTTTACCTTAACCCTAAAACCAAGTCTTAACCCTCAAAACACCCTCTGAAGTTGTGGGAACAAGCCAAAATGTATATGCAGCAGTGGTATCGAACTGTGTCCATGACTAAAGACGTACACACACCCACAATGTGAATTTTTGCATCTGCTGACAAAAACAAAGAGATGTAACAATGGTCCCAGATGTGTGAATTACTGATTGTAGCATCTGGGTGCATCAATTCTTCCATTTTTTAAATTTAAAAAATTTCAAATTAGATACTGAAGTGAATGAATGGAACCATAATTACTATGAGTACAATTTAAAACCAGGTAACCTGTAACAAAGGAAAGTAGGACAACATTTTTATTAAAGCTTGCCATTAAAAAAAAAAAAAGGCAAAAACTATTATTAGGTGCTCCAATTCATGGCAATGTGTTCCCTCGCTGATGTTTGATGGACAGTCACGGTTGTCCCCATCATACAAACTATGTAGTCAGTCTTCACCTGCCTCCTTCAAATTTTATCTCTGTTTAGGTCAGATTGAGCTGGTGCAGCAATCTGCATATGTTCTTACTGTGTAATCCCAGAATGGGTGGTGACAGAGGAGGAGGGTTGGGGAAGGTAAACTTGACAGTGTATTCTTTAGGCCTCTTCAACAGCTCAGTGGCCTCCTGGCTTTCCTCCTTCTGACCATCCTTCTTCTTGCCTTTCTGCTGCTTTCTGGTCAGGGCCTCCCTAGTCTGCTTCTCCTGAGAGGAAATATTTTTTAAAAACTGGTGTCAGCTTCAAAATCAACACGAGACAGAATAGATAAATAAAACACCTATGTCAACAAGCTGTGGCACGCATACAGTGCCTATAGAAAGTATTCACCTCCTTCAATGTTTTACCATCTTATTGATTTTATAAATCAATCATGGTCAATATAATTTGGCTTTTTTGACAAAAAAAAAAAAAAAAAAGACAAAAAAAACATCTAATGTCAAAGTGAAAACAGGTTTCTACAAAGTAATGTGAATGTGTGTAAAGTCATGTTTTCCGTTTAATTCTTTTGTACACAGTGTATTGAATAAATGTCCAAATATAAATGCTGCTATGTTTTCTTTGAAAGCTGAGAATAACAAGCACTTTTAATGAACTGGAAATATTTTTCAATGAACAGTTACAGGGAAATGAATAAGCTGCAATTTTTTCAAGTCTTCAATCTTTGTACAACAGTACAAAGATTATACTGTACACATGTACAGTCCATCTGTCCATACTGAGAGAGTAATGCTAACCCAGCGCAAATCCACTGTAAAAAAACAAAAAGGGAGAGAGGTGTAGATTTGACCTAATAATGGTTTTACAAATATGTATTTTATTAGGGAAGGGCAAAATAATAAAATATAACAAACTGCAGCCTCACCATTAGGCTACTAGACCTGAATAAATGTAGTGAAAGCCACAAAACATTTCTTACAGATGTAGGCCTAGTTTTTAGTGCAGGGCTATGCGACTGGATTTAGTGAGGTTTACTAGTTTGCATCCTCTAAACCCACTAAAAAGTAACTGCTTAAAGACTAAAAAATGTCAATAATGTTCAGTACCTGCTCAAATTCTACTATGTACATTGTTCACTGCCAGTGATGTGGAACCTAAACTTACCCATACTGTTATGAGCTTCATTTGTAATGGAGCTCAAAACCTGATGGTGGCGCTTAAGGAGCGTCCAGAGTTTGGCGATATGTTTCCACAGTGAAGCCTGCTGACTTTGATGATCCAGTGAAGTTTCCTATAGTGTCCCCATGAGGTTGACAGCAAGGGTATATGTTTGGTTTCAACAATGATAGTGGTCACAACACACACACACACACACACACACTCCATGACTGAATACACTTTTATCAAAAAAGCCAAATCATACTGACCATGACTGAGTTATAAAATCAACAAAAAGGTAAAACATCCAAGGGGGTGAATACTTTTTATGGGCACTGTAATAACTTAGCTTTAGTCCATACTAGAATGTTGTACACTTACTAAAAATATAAAGACTTCATAGGTACATTTCATCTTCAACTGAGAGTTGTTGATTCTACACATCCATGAAAGAACACAACTTGTCACCTTGACAGAGCTTGAACTGTTGTACTTTGTTACCTCTGCCAAAGTAGGGGTCATAGTTTTACCAGCATTTGTTGGTTTGTTTGCTAGTTTGTTAACAGCAGAACTCAAAAAGTAAAGAACAGATTTCAGTGACATTTTTGCAGAGGCAGGGTATGGCCCACAGAGCAACTGATTAGCTTTTGGTCCTGATCCATATCATAATTTGGATACAGGAATTTTTTAAAGATTATTCCCCTCTGTGAGTGCTACAAAGGCTGCTGACTGTATGTGAGCCCCCTTGTGGCCAAAGTGCACAGCTGCACTGCTGATCATTCCGAGTACATACAGAGACAAAGCCCTGGGTCAGTGTCAGCTGCTCATTCACTGTCAATTGAAACCAAGTCACTCAGTCCACCCTGCAGTGTGAGACAGGAACTGAAGGAGCCCAGCAAGGCGGCAGCTCCAGCAAGCTCTCTGCAGCAACAGCCAGGCAAGAGCCATTTGAGATTTTGAACCAGGCTCAAAGCTGTTATCATTTTCATCCTTGGACTGCTATTATGCCACTTTATTAAGTTTAGACACTTTTTCAGGTGAGACCACTAATCACTTAGACTGAGAATGCTGTCAGTCTATCCAAGTAATGCCAATTTAGAAGTTGCATGAAGGATCACTTCACAGTGCAACAATCAGCCAGTAGCACAGACTGTATGAGCAGTTTATCAAGAATTGAGTTTAAGATTCCTTTATTTGTGTTCAAAGCCTTATACGGCCTTGCCCCACTTTACTTGGTTGATTTTTTATCTACTTATGTGCCGCGTAGAGCCTTGCGCTCTTCTTAAAACCTATCTCTAGTCGTCGCACGGTCCCGATCCAAAAAATGGGGTGACCGCGCATTTGCCGTTTATGGCCCTAGATTTTGGAACTCGCTACCACTAGAGATTCGATCTACGACCAAGCTAGGGGTTTTTAAATCCAGATTAAAAACGCACTTTTTTAAATAAGCGTTCGATCTTTAATTTGTTTTATTTGCCATTGAATGGCATTGTGCACGTTTTATATTTTATGATTATCTGGGTATTGTTTAGTAGCGTTTTCTCTGTTTTAGCATCGTTTTAGTGTATAGTTATGCTTATTCTGTGCAGCACTTTGGGCTCTGTGAGTTGTAAAGTGCTATATAAATGTTACTTATTATTATTATTCTTATCAAAAAGCTGTTGAACAAGCAGAACACAGACTTGCAGAAAGAAATGTGACGTCTGCAGCACTTTGCCCAAGGTCCACTCACTGAAGTCTGTGTGTTACCCCTAAACCAACGAGTGAGTGTATGTCATGTCTATCGTTTTTCTTGAATGACTTTCAAAATAATGATAGAGTCATTCTAAATGCAGGGATTAGGCTTTCATGGTTAAGCAATCGTATTATGAAGGTCAAACTCATGGGAATATTGGCTTTATGTTTTTATGGGCAAATGAAGTTGCCCTTGGTGGAGGTTTGCACTCTGAGTGCTGTCTTTTTCCTCTATGCAAGTGATTTAGGTGAAGATGTGGAGACTGGTTTTCTCTTTAAAGTCCGCTTCATTCTGTTTTGGGGACATCCAAGATGTATGAACGTGGAGCCAGTTGGTGTGTGTGGACATACTCACAGCCTGTTTGGTGGACTTGCCACCAGCCTTCAGCTCTTTGAGTTTCTTCTCCTGCTTGTCATACTGTTTCTGCAGTTCTTTCTGCTTTTGCACATACATCTTCTTGAAGGTTACTTAAAGAAAAGCAAGAAAAGCACTAATTAGGTAAGAGAGGATTTCCACTATCAGTTTTCCGTTGTGTGTCTTACTCTGTCTCGTCACAACACTAAGGCTATGCTCATATCACAAGCCCCACCACTCAAATCTAATTTGTTTTGCCACATCTAGACTTCTGACATCCATGTTTGTAAGGGTGTTCCATACTTGGTCCCTTTCAGCCCTCAAAACAAACTCAGAGTGATTAGTCAGCATTTTCTGGGGATATGTGCACACTCCAAATGAACTCAGATCCTTCTGAAATGAATCGGTTGTTTCAAGTCCACGTTCTGTTTTGTTTAATCTGTGCATTGTGAACACAAAGCACTCCAGGTTCACTTGGTTTTTTGTCATGTTTTGTCCCCTAGTCTTTTGCATGCAAGGGCATAAACACAAGCAATGTGTTCAAATATCTAGTGAAAGTCCATCGCATACAGGCGGAGAAATGTTGTATGGTAGAGAGGCAGGGTACAGCCCACAGAACAACAGCTTTTGGTGCCGATCCATATCATAATTTGGATACAGGAAGATTTTAAAAGAGAGTTGGAAAGGATGCTGACGGTATGTGAGCCCCCTTGAGACCAAAGTGCACGGCTGTGTTGCTGAGCACTCCGAGCACCAACAGAGACAAAGCCCTGGGTTAGTGGCCGAACTGAGACCACCTCCTGAAGGTGAATGAATGGGATTCATCAATATATGGTGCGAACAATTCTGCAGTTTAAGACTTAAAATATGACTTAGTTTTTACTCTCTTCATTGTCATTCGCATGAGGTTAATTCAAAACTATTCATAGCATTATTTTTGATGCATCTTCACTTTATTTTTAATGCCCAAGACTTTTTCACAGCACTTTATTTTACAAGTCATGTTAACTTAAACACAATGCATATCCAAAACCTGCAAGATACAAACCTAAAATCAATACTTACAGTAGTTCCCTCTGTAGTAGTAGAGTTTCTGGTTGTCTAAGTGGATAATATCTGTACACACATCGTCAAGGAATCCCTGATCATGAGAAACTATGAGAAGAGTCTTCTTCCAGCCTTGAAGGTAACTGTAAGTAAAAAAAATATATATAAATAAGAGTAAATAAATCTCTCTAAAGGACTAGCACAAACAGATCTTTTAAATATTATAGAGCAACATCAATTCATACATCATTTGCCTTATTAACATTGAAAAGACTTCTGTAGCAGATGGAAGTATATTATTTAGATCCATGACACTAGAGTGCCAACAAATATAAGGTTTTGCTTGTTGGTAGTGCCAGAAGGGGTTAAAGCAAAAAGCATGTTATTTTTTTGGCCCAAGGTACATGTTACCAGAACATACAGTAACACTGTGGCCAAATTCCATGGGCTGGGTTACATCTACAGATACCCTGTGGCATTTTTATCTGTAAAATCAGTGCAGCAAGATTCGAAAATGGAGTCTCTCACTTGGTCTTCTGATGAGAGGCTAAAATAATACCTAGCACCAAGGGCTCCATGTTGCAAGCCAGTAACACCACACTGACACTGAGCTATGTTCTGCTCATCACAGCTACACTACCCCCACATTCCACATTATCAAAGATGTGGAAGATAAACAACACGTTTTACAGTGCTGTGGAAACACACCCATGCTGATTCAGGAGCAGCTCAGTACAGTTCAGTCACGCATTCTTCAGCTCAGCAGAAGAGCTTGCAAAACACTATTGGAGTGCACCTCGACAACAGACTGGAATGGAAATGCAACACAGAGCAGACTACTTTCTGAGAAAGCTCACATCATGTGATGTATGCAGTAGAACGTGTAGGTTGTCTACTGCTGCAGCAGCAGAGCTAATGACACCGACAAACTACACAAACATATCAGGAAGGCTGGCTCTGTGGTAGGGACTTCTATGGAGCCTCTGGGGTTGGGTGTGGAGAGAAGGAAGCTTCATAAACTCTTGACCGGGGCTGACTGGGGGCGGCTATGGCTCAGGAGGTAGAGCGGGTCGTTTCCTAACCGGAGGATTAGCGGTTCGATTCCCGGCTTGTCCAGTCCAGTTGAGCAAGACACTGTACCCCCAGTTGCTGACATCACCGGTGTGTGAATGTGTGTGTGTTTGGGAGTGCGAATGGGTGAATGGCCAAATAGTGTGAAAGCGCTTTGAGTGTGCTGTAAAGAAAGGCGCTATACAAATATAAGACCATTTACCATTTAAGACCATTTGACCATCATGGAGAACATCTCATATCCCCTAATGGTCAAACATGCAGAGCACTTTCAGCAGTAAGACTGCTTCAGCTTTGCTGTACCAAACAACGCCACAGGAAATCCTGCAGACTGCGATCACCTCCAACAATATGTTCAATGTACATTTTGTCAATAAACAAAAGTTATTACTCAAATGTAATTTAATGAACAGTCCTTCAGACTATACACCCAATTCTCACAGATGTACAGTAAAATATCTATTTATACTTGTAATTTATTTTCTTATTCTGGTCTATTTTTGCTCAGTATCTATCCATCTAAGAAGGGCCTTAGTCAGGGACATGCGCAAGAGCCCAAAGTCATTCTAACAGAACTTCAGAGGTCTGCTGCAGAGATGGGTTAACCTGCAGGAAGGACAACTATCTCAGCAGTGCGCCATCAATTAGGCCTTTATGGCAGACAGCTAGCCAGAAGCCACTTTGAGTACAGAGCATATGACGGCCTGCTCTGAGTTGTTCAAACAACATTTCAGGGACTGAGAATGAGGGGAAAAAAATCTCTGCTCCTATGTGACAAAACTTAAATCCTTTAAGCAGAACTCCAAGCACTAATTCTGGTGAACACTAGGCACTGCTCATCACCTTGCTAGTACCATCACTACAGTGCAGTATGGTGGTGGCAGCATCATTTAGTGGGGTGCTTCTCAGAAGGATGAAGGCGAATGCAGCCAAATACAGAGAAATACCCAAAGAATATCTGTTCCAGCGTGTGCATGACCCGAGACTGGTGTGACGGTTCACCTTTCAGCATGACCTGAAGCATACAGCCAAGACAATGCTGGTGTGAAGCTTTAGCCAAAGCCCAGATTTAAACCCCAAAGAACACGTCAAGAGACCTGAAGATGGCAGTTCACAGACACATCTCATGCAATCTGATGGAGCCTGAGAAGACTTGACGGGAAGAATGGGGCAGACCGCCCATTCCTAGTGTTAAAGACTCAAAGCCGCATCTGCTGCCAAAGAGATGACTGTCAAAGTACTGAACTAAGGATCTGAATACTTTTGTAAATGAGAGATTTCAGTTTGGGATTTTTATTAAATTTGCAAAAAATTTCTGAAATCATGTTTTCACTTTGTCATTAGGGGTCATAAGTAATAAATGACTTAATATTCCTTCCCATTCTTAATCCTAAATAAAAACTACCATTATCTAATAGTAGCATTATTCAGAGAAACACATTAGATTAAAAAAACGTCTTTATACTTGTTAAGCCAGATGACAGCATTCAGGTCCAAGTGGTTGGTGGGTTCGTCCAGCATCAGTAGAGTGGGTTCCATAAACAGAGCTCTGTTGGTACAGAAGGTTAAAAGTGAGTGAAATAGAATTTCAAACAGATTAATGCTGGACCTGTTCCATCCATAAAGTCTGTAATGGTGTACCTGGCGAGGGAGACTCTCATTCTCCACCCTCCAGAGAATCTCTTGGTGGGTCTGTTCTGCATTTCAGGGGTAAATGACAAACCAGCCAAGATCCTCCTGGCTTTGGCTTCTGCTGCAGCAGCTCCAATTGCCCTAAGCTCTTCATAGACCTGATGAGGAGGAGAAAAACTGATCTAAACCACATTTATGAAGGTCAAATGAAATGTTGCAAATAGTCTCTTACTAAACAGGAAAACTGCACCCAGTTACAGCAAGTATGTAACATTAAGGCTAAACCATGAAGGCATGCATTAATGCTGTAATGAGATGTTTATGACAGACAGTTTGGGGAATACGTTTACAATTTCCCTTTGTCTTCAAAATACATTTGAATAACCTCAAGGTTCATCTCCATGTTTGTGTCTTGACCTGTCAGACTTTTTATTGATATGAACGTGTTCTCAGTCAAGCTATTAATTTGGCAAGTACAATTTAATAGAGACAGGTTGGAGTAAAAACAAGTGTTTAAGTTGGGTTTGAAACTAAAGATTTAGGCATGAGAGCCTGCTAGATTTACACTGTATGATTGGAGTCCACTAGCTTAGTTAATATGCCCAGAAAGGGGAAAAACCTCACAATGTAGATTATCAGACTGAAGCTTTTTTTTTTTTTAGACTGAGGTTTTCCTTACTTAATTTGAGGGTCCATGGACAGAAAGTGTAATGTGCTGTACAGATCATAAAGTCCCTCCTTGTGATTTCTGATATTGGGTTATGCAAATCAAAATGACTTGACCGTAGATCCTATAGGACTGGGGTGCTGAAAATAAAACCATATGCACAGCAGTGTTGCTGTAACTAAACAAACGTTAGTGACTGTCAGTTTATGAGGCTGTATAAAAAAATGACAACATTCTCTCTCTCTCTCTCACACACACACACACACACTCCTTCTCCAGCCTCTCAGCCACTCTGTCCTCTCCTTTCTCCAACAGAGCCTGAAGCTGTTTCTCCTCCTCAAGAAGCTTCAGGCGACGGGTGTCTGCCTTCAGCACTGCCTGCACCGCTGGTGTGTCATCAGCTACCACCTCTAACAGAAACACAAGTACATGACAGAGTGAGTGGATGACAACAGCGTGGTCACACACAGAAATTATGGATAGCACATCCTGACCAATCACTTACCCTGTTCACACAGTAGTACATCAATGTTGGGGGGAATACTGAGAGCTCTGTTGGCTATGTGTTTCAGTAATGTGGTCTTTCCTTTTCTGAAAGACAAAGACCACAACAAGAACACACTGAATCATTTATTATCAATGTTTAAGTTGAAATTAAGCAACATGTCTGGTTACTGCTCATACCATGAGGAAACCTATTCATACTTTATTCATACTCATGTTTCTGGCTCAACATCATACCACTAGTACTTTGGTGATTTTATCAACAGGAGCCATCTATTTTAATCAAACACCCTTGAATCAATACATGCATATAAATCAGCATTAGAAATAATCACAATCAATTTTTAAGTGCATTTTTATTTATATTTAAGCAGAAATGTTTGCAAGTCAATCTGTATTTACAGCAGCACTCAGAGCACTCTGCCAAGGGGCAACTCGGTTTCCCATAATGTCATAAAAGCAATATCCCCATGACAGTTTGACCCTCATAATATGGTTGCTTGACCATGAAAACACCCTGCTGGCATTTGGACTGATGCCGATATCATTATTAGTTTGAAGGTTTTTCAGAACAAAAACGACAGACATGACAGACATCCACTTGGTTTAGGGGTAAAACGGGGACTTCAGTGAGTAGACCATGGACAAAGCGGTGAAGCCATCACATTTCTACAGGTTTGTGGTCTACTTGTTCAACAGCTGTTTGATAAACTGCTCATACAGTCTGTGCTGCTGGCTGATTGATGCACTAAGGAGTGATCTTTCACGTCCTGTGCTATCACTCTGCTCCTCTCCTCTAAACAGAGACTGACACAGAAAAATATATTGGAAAAACCAAGCAGGATGGTCCACATCAACCCTCACCTAGCTGTTGCTGCAATTGTGGCCAAAACCCACCATCAATCCTTCTTGAAGTAGTAGACTACTAAAAATTTGAGTCCAAAAATGAGCTGGCACTAGCCAGGCGAGTGAGAGAGCTGAACTGTGCATGAAGTCCAACACATACATCGCCAAAGAGCAGAAATTTTTCAGAAGAAAACAAGCTACACATAGGCTAAATCACAAATGGCAAAACATGCACAGCAAAGGGTCTGAATACTTATGACCATGTGATAGTTCAGTTTTTCTTTTTTAATAAATCTGCAAAAATGTCAAAAATTCTGTGTTTTTCTGTCAATATGGGGTGCTGTGTGTACATTAATGAGGAAAAAAATGAACTTAAATGATTTTAGCATATGGCTGCAATATAACAAAGAGTGAAAAATTTAAGGGGGTCTGAATACTTTCCGTACCCACTGTACTAAAGCAGCAAGTTTCACCAAGTTTATCAAGATCAGAGTGCAATACTAGAAACATATATTCTGATATAAGGCTATATAAAATACCATCCTACAATGGTAATAAAAGAAAAGGGGATACTTACCCATTTGGTCCAACCAAACCATATCTTCTTCCTGCCACAATCAGAAGGTCAGCGTTGACGAAAAGCTCCTTGCCATGTGCAGATATGCTAAATCTCTCTAGCTAAAGTACACAAAACAGATCTTCACTAAAAGAGACAGACCAGTACATCCAAATGTTTCCATACTACTTTTATAGCTAAAAGCATCTTGAGATTAAAAGGTTAAGGGAAGTTAAGAAAAACATGTACACATCAAACATTTACAAATGAATAGGTCCAATTTTTCATTACAGTTCACATTTCTAGACAACAAAATTTCAGGGATTTTAAGCCACTTGTTGAGAAGAATGTAAGAAGCCATCACCTTAATATCAGAGGCGTTCTCCAGCATGGCTTGTCTGGAGGACATCTCAGCCTGTGAAATGGAGAAGTCTGCCTCGAAGGCATTCTGAGAACGAACACTAGCCACCTGACGCTCATACTCCATCTGTAACGATATACACCAACAAAGACAAGCAATAACCCATGAACTCAAGAGAAAATAAACCTAGTTACATTTTCAAGGTTATTTTTTCAGACTTAAAAAAACTCGTTCCCATCCACAGAATGCATCTACTACCTTCATTATCGATTAATTTACTGATTGTTGTTTTGATGACTAGCTTATTTGTTTGGTCTATAAAACAGAATATAGTGAAAAATGCTTCTCACAATTTCCACATGCCCAGGGTTCTTACAGTTCCACTCGAGATATTTTAGTACTTATATTTCCATATAGAAATATTCTGCTACAAACAATATACAAGCTAACACAGGTTTTTCCTCAAAAAAAGTTCAGTGGATGTCTGTAATAGGCTGCCCCTCATTGTGAAGTCAGGATTTATGAATATTCAAATATACCAACAGCACACCCCCCACCACCGCACCTCCCACATAGGTCAATGAACTTAGTCTGTCAGGATGAGATGCAGGAGTGAAAACTGAAAAGATTTAGCAGTTTCTGTTTAAGCCATCATGTGGCAATGTTATATAAAAGAGATAAGTCAAATGTATTTACAGTCCAGTCTGGCTGAGTTTGACAGTATGTCAGCATCTCTTTATTTAGTGGGCCAAAAACATAATCTAGTTACAGAGATCAGGGAGACTGGATTATTAGCAGCAGGCGAGATGCCAAGCTCCAAGTGCAGCCACACCCACTTGCTACGACCACTATGTGAGCGGGTGCCTCCGTAGCTACTGCTAACTGTTGGTTGGGTGGTAAAATGCTAATGTTGGGATGTGCATTGGGGCATAGGCAAATTAGAGATGGATTCCTTTATTTAGGTTTTGCAACAGGTCAGCATTGAACTGGCTCCTAAAGGTAGGCTACACTGTTCATTTATTTTGTTTTGATTCTGTAATAAGCTATCATTACAGTTTGTGTTCACATTGTGAGCGCCACATGATCATTGTCATTTATCACTGCTGCCATGGTGCACGGCTAATAATACTGGGTCTTGTCTTTAACTGTGATTAACCTTATATAATTTAGTGATCTCTGTGTTCATGTGTGAGCCAGATAATGGAACTTCACACTTAACATTAGCTTCTTACTGTGGCTGTGACTGGAGCTCAGTGGTTACAGCCATGATGGCTGTAGCTATTCAAAAACAGACATGTACATGTAGCCTACATGCTTTTCTTTGCTCTTTATTGTCTGTCATAAGTATTAATTCTGGTTTGTGTGAAAATCAATTCTTAAAGTAGTCTAAGCTGCAAATATAATGGACTGAATTCCCCAACAATAAAAGTAAAGGTTGTTGCATCAGCTTTAGCTGTACATGGTTTTAGAGCAAAAGGACTGCATGTAAACGAAGGGGGTGAGCTTGGTACGTCACTGTGAGAAACAGACATTGTGGCTGTGTGTGTGTTCTTATGTTATTTATATTGCCTGCATATAAACAGTTATATAACTAATACACCATAGCAGCAAATAGTGATTACCTGTTTCTTCATCTTCTTCTTTTCCTTTTTGCTAAGATTAGCATATGGGTCATCTTCCTGTTGTTTGGCTTGTTCTGCAATGACATCTTCAGCACTCTGATGATTACAGCCAGAGAAAGGCAGGAGTTAGCATTGATCCAAAGCAGAGAATGAGAAACTATAGCTTTGTGGAAGAGAAACATACCATCATCATATCACCTCCGTCACTGTCCTCCGCATCATCCTCATCCTCACTGCATGATCGCTCAGCAGGTTTGCCTTTCTACATAGACACAGGTAAATAGTTACTTGAAAAATGCCAAAAGTGAGGTTAAAAATTAAAAGAACACAAGCAACATCAGTGCTTATTACTTGCCTTGTGTTTCTTCTTTGTCTTCTCACCCTCATCATCATATTCTGGTGACTAAAAGAGGATAAAAAACATTTTCCAAACCTTCATGTAAATATCAGACAGGATGCATAAAATTTAAAAAGGTATAATGAAAACATGTTATTCTGTGTTGGGTTTTAAATGTTTGTTTTTCTAAGACATTTGTCTCAGCACCAAAGAAGGATCTTTTCAGCCACCTGTGAATTGCACAAAATGTCTTCTGTCCAAAGTATTTCAGGGTGTGTTGTACAATGAGTGAATTAATAAGAAACAAATATTACTAAGAACATAGTAATACTATAGGCCTTCTGTGCTTATTGTGACCAAACTAATAGTCGAATAACTGGGTCCTGCCCTACACTATTCACTAATGCTGCATTTGTTGTGTGGTCAATTTCAGCCATGTGAACTACAATGCTGTACCTTTTTTGCTGGCTTATGGTCTCTGTCTACAACAGGGTCCTCATCCTCATCACTCTGGCTGAGAACAGCAAAGACGTTTCTACCCTGAAAGGAACACAAGAGGTGCTTTACACTCAACTTGGAAAGTGTCAGGAGGGCAGAGATAGTGTGCTAATGCAACTTAATGGCAAACCTTCTTGTTTCCTTTACTGGGGGCAATGGCTGTGAAAATAAATGGCAACCACAATGAATCAGAATAAGAATAAGAATGACTGAATGAATGAGGACCAGTCTTGAAACATTTATACCTGGCTCATCTTCCTCGTCACTTGCTTGAACTGAGAGCTTTTCCAGCTTCAGCATGACATCCTCATCATAATCTGCATCTCCACCTTTTACTTTCCGCCGGTCTTTCTTCTTTTTCTGAGGCTGAAAAGTACAATTTCAAATAAAAATTTCATATTACTTAAAAAATTATGATAGCCGTATTTTAAAAAGTACAAATTCTATACATCAAATGTCTGAAATTATTAAAACTCAATCCCTTATATAATGCAATTTAAATTTTTTTCAATCGTATTTCATATTAGATTTTTTTTTCATAATGCTCTTCTCAAAAGCCTGTTGTTATTTCATTGATTTCATAATACTGAGTTGAGTTTTTCCTAAAACTGTACCGATCGATTGACTGGAGATGAGAATTTAGTTTGATCAGCCATGACTGGTGAACAGCCAGGCAGTTTGAGAGATCCGATTCTGTGCCCGTCAAATTTACACAGACGATGGTTCATGTTGAGCATACAGTGGTGCAGATTGACAGCGTAGCATCTCGTGTGCACTTCGCATGGGGCTCATGCATCGGGTGCATGTTCAGTTGTACATTGGAAGCTTCTTCAAGCTAATAATGCATCTTTCATTTTAGCTTGTTTATAACAATTAGCTATTAGCTTAACTAGCTTGCAATGGTTAACACAAAATGGCAGTGGATGACACAGTGCAGGCAAAACTGAAATTAGCTTCTGTGCAATTTTATGCTCATTTAGTTGCATTGATAAAATGCTCTTATTGACTTTTTACTTGAGGAGGTTTTACTGCACATACAGTAACAACTTAGGTGAAGTCAACTTGAGCAATGTTTCACTACTTCTGATGTAAGCAAACAACGCACACACTGTAGTGCCTGAGAGCATTGCTGCAAAAACGGAATGCAGCACAATAATCTTCATCTCAATTATTTTGTTTTCATAATCATTTGTGAAGGCAAAATCATTATAGAAAATAAAATTCAATTAAATGCCCAGACCTAGTTCAAGTAGCAGACCCATCTCAACATCAACAGTTCAGATTAGGCTGTGTGAATAAGGCCTTCCTGGTCTTGTCCCACAAAGCATGTTTGTGATTTATTCCGAATTAAAGGTACACCTAACCAGCATGGCTATCACTACATTCTGCAGAAACACACCATCCCATCTGGTCTGCAGTTAGTGAGACCACCATTTGTGTTGCTCACTTACTTTAAACCTAAAAAGTCATGTGACCTTTCAATTGTCCGTGGTATTGCAATAAAAAACATTTTAAAAAGAGTCAAGATTACCTGTTTTCCCTGAGTGTCTCTCACAGCCACTTCAACAACCTGTTCAGGTTTGCTATCTGTGGTGAGTTCCTTAAAGAACTGGTGAAAAATAAAAATCAAAAACTTTAATGAGACGTTGTACCACAGAGATCAAACATCAGCTATAAAACATTTTAATACTCTAAAACTAAAAAAAAACAAGCTATTTTATGTACTCACAATCTTTTTGTCCTTTTTATCTTTCTTGCCCTTTTTCATTGTTTTTTCTGTTGGAAGAAAACATTATTTCACAAAAAAAAAAAACAGTGGCCATCAGTGATCTGGTAAACTAACAACAGTTAGAGAGTTGTCTGCAATTATTAGGACAATGTCAGGGCTGTGTGCCAGCACTGGAAATTAAACAGCCTGTCCTTTTGACAGAATTAGAGCATACTTGTGGTGACAGCCTGGGGGGGGGTCATGTTTTCATAATTATTGTTTATTAGATATATTTCAGGGTGGGCCAGAATTGGCCCACGGGCCGGACGTTGCCGACCCCTGCTGTACAGGGACTCACTGTTTTACCTGACCGGTCTAACCTACAAGCAGCTGGCCTGAGAAGCCCCCCACAGCAGTGAATGATCAGCTCATCAATGCTGGATTCCCCCCAAGCAGTACCGGTTTGTTTTGACTGCTTGAGGCCAACGTGTCTGCTGCATGTGATGTGTTGCTGGTTAGTGAGTGGAATAATGAGCCAAGATGTTATTGTTGGTGCTATGCTACTAAAAAATGTGTTGGTTTTTTTTAACTTACTGTTAGTACCAAGTAGTGTTGCTTTCGTCAACGAAAATTATGACTAAATATCGTTGACAATGAACCTTTATCACATGATGAAAACGAGACGAGACGCAACGAAAATACTGGTCGTGTGACGATGACTATAACTAAATGTATAATGCAATATTGTTGATGAAAAAACGAGACTAAATGTGGTTCACAAAATAAAAACTATGCCAAAATGTCTCTTCATTTTTGTTGACCAAAACGAGATGAAACGAAATGTTACAACGTTATTTCGTCTCGTTCAGTCGCGTTATTATTATCGTTTTGCAGTACTTGTTTCCTGTGTCTCGCATCAGGGGCCGCATCAGGTCGCATTGTGCAGGCGTAGGTGATGTCACTTCCTTAAGCCCCACTGGCGGCATTATTTAGAAGATGACAACAAACAAAGTTAAGTCTGACACAGAGAAAAGGATCGATGGCCGGCCAGCTGGGGTTTGTCATTGGGAGAAAAAGAAGAAACGACATTTGGAAAAACTTTCATTACACAGAACTGGAAAAGAAAAAAATGTGTTGTGGAAAAAGATGGGGAGAAATGTGGCCACAAAAACACACAAAATGTGTATTTGATGTATTCTTGAGTGTGTAAGGTAACAATAATATAATAAGATAACCTTGTTTGAAATGAGTTTGGCTAAAAGAAAATTTTGGTTTCGTCTATACTACTAGGTACTTATACTATACTGACTGGGTTAAATAGAATTGCATTACTAAAAAGAGACTAAAATACAATTTTCATTGACTAAAACTAGACTAAAATGCCATCAGTTTTGGTCGACTAAAATTAGACTAGACTAAAAAGAGTATGAACGTGACTAAGACTAATAAAAACTAAAATGACAGCTTCACACAAAGACTAGACTAAAACTAAAATTAAAACAGGCTGCCAAAAACAACTCTAGTACCAAGTAGTGGAAACATCACTCCCTTTCAAGTAGCTCCAAGGTCAGTAAATCCAACCGGTGGTCACTGCATTTTCCCCACACGACCACATACAGTCCCAAAGTAGTGCAATTAATTCCAACAACAATAACATCATGGATCATTAGTCCACTCCTTAACCAGCATCACATCACCTGCGGCAGACACACTGGCCTCAAGCAGTCAAAACAAACAGGTACTGTGCTCCAGGGGAATCCAGCGATGATGAGCTGATCACTAACCGCAGCTGGGGCTTCACAGGCCAGCTGCTTGTAGGTTAGACCTGTTCAGGTAAAACAGTGAGTCCCTGTACAGGAACATTCCCAGACATGCAGTAACCTCAGGCCCTGTAATTTTCTCCACATTCTCTGGTCACAGTGCAGTAGCAGGAGGGAAAATATATCCACAAAATAAAATAATATATCCATAAAATAAACTTTGTTGAAAATACACGACTAGTTTTTGCAGATTCTCAGTCACCCAGGTCATAGTAAGCTGGAAAAAAAAAACAGCCGAGGGGGATAAATATCTCTGGCTCAACGCCAGTCAGTCAGAGCTGATGAAGCCTCTTGGATGAGAGGTGAAACGTCTTCGACCTAGAAATCTAGTCCATTTGATTTTTTCTAAGTTTTCTCTCAGCTTACACATGACAAGCAAGGCAATATAACATTTTGCCTATATGATGGGGCACCTGTAGATGTCAGGCAAGCTCACATGAACACACTACGGTCTGGATTTCATGCCCATTCAAGGAAATCCTTTAACTATCACATAATACTTAATTTTGTTAGAAAAAAAAGCCTCAGAAGTGAGAGTTGTCTTTTTGAGTACGTTCACACTGCAGGTCTTAATGCTCAGATCGGATTTTTTGCCGAAATCCGATTTTTTTTGCGCTGTTGTTCACATTGTCATTTAAATGTGACTGCCATCCGTCTCATGTGTGAATGGTATACTGCCCTGAGGTGACCCGCATGCGCTGAAGAGGACGTGACGTCAGACACAGTGTACTGTGTTTGCGAAAATAAAAATAGATGCGACTCGTGATAGCATGTGCGTAGCGATGTACCAGTTAATGTGCAATCAAAATAAAGAAATAGTAAGAAGACGAATATCAAGAAGAAGGAAAGCACAAACATTGCTTATGGCCTCCGCCTCCTCTAGCGCAGAATTGTGACGTCTGTCACATTTCAATGACATAAAAATCGCATGAAATGACATGGTCGTTCAGACTTAAGTCACATTGCAAAACATCGGATATGTATCCGATTTAGGACCACATATGAAAGTGCCCTGGGCCTGATTTGGAAAAAAATCGGATTTGTGCTGTTCACACTGTCATAAGGAAATCGGATATGGGTAGTACGTTCACACTGCAGGTCTTAATGCTCAGATCGGATTTTTTGTGCTGTTGTTCACACTGTCATAAGGAAATCGGATATGGGTAGTACGTTCACACTGCAGGTCTTAATGCTCAGATCGGATTTTTTGTGCTGTTGTTCACACTGTCATAAGGAAATCGGATATGGGTAGTACGTTCACACTGCAGGTCTTAATGCTCAGATCGGATTTTTTGTGCTGTTGTTCACACTGTCATAAGGAAATCGGATATGGGTAGTACGTTCACACTGCAGGCTGAAGTGGCCCAAATCCGATCTTTTTGCCCAAATGTGACCCATATCCGATTTCCTTATGACAGTGTGAACAACAGCACAAAAAATCCGATCTGAGCATTAAGACCTGCAGTGTGAACGTAGTCTTAGACGTGACCTAAGGCTAAAAACTGTTGTAACATTGTAGACAAGTCAAAAAAGCATCATGGGCTCCTTAATGTTACATAACGTTTCATCCAACCACATTTGTTTCGATTAGCTTCACAAGCGATTTTCCGCTTCTTCATGACACTGTGGCCGCTATAACGATATTATAATGTTCAAGGCCCTATCTAGAAGTAGCTAGCAAGCAATTTAACGTAACGTTACATTAGTTCGAACATTCAAAGTTGAAATTTTATTGAAATGTGTGCCTTTAGATGAATATGGTAGGAATAACCTTAAACCCGAGAGGATACTCGGTATTCATGAACGGAGCTTAACTTGGTTATAACAAGATATACGCCACTGTCTAAGAAGCTTAGAGGAAAAAATACGGATTTTCTAAAGTCACATCATAACATTATGCTGAATTATCGCTAACGTTAGCTCTTATTTGACACCATTTAGCATGCTAGCTAAGCTCCTCAAAAACCACTGATGTTATCTCACCAGCTGCCGGAGCGACTTCATCGTCCATCCACACTGCTTCCTCTGTCGTTTTCTTGGGCATTTCGATACTTCAATAGCAACTGTATAAAATGATGTAACCGAAATTAAATCCTTTTTTTTCTATCCAGCAACTTTATGAGCTAAACACGTCACACAAGCTAACAACGTGATAATACCGCATCACACTAGCACGGATCGTCATCGTCTTCTTCTTCTTCTAGCTATGGTGTTTATTGGAGGATTGCAAGCCAACCTAAGGTGCATTACTGCCCCCTACTGGGTTGTGGCGTGTGGAACGATAATATATTATCATGCTTCTTCTTCTTCTTCTTCTTCTTCTTCTTCTTCTTCTTCTTCTTCTTCTTCTTCTTCTTCTTCTTCTTCTTCTTCTTCTTCTTCTTCTTCTTCTTCTTCTTCTTCTTCTTCCTCCTCCTCCTCCTCATGGAGCTTTGGGCGTTTGGCAAACAACAAAATGATGCATTATCGCCACCAACTGGATAGGAGTGTGGATCGGGAATCATAACTACTCTTTCCTAAATCTAATTATTAAACATTTAAGACAATTATAATCCTTTACACCAATATTCAGACACTCGGACCACATCTCCTTGTTCCTGTATCCACCTTACAGACAAAGACTGAAAACAAGCCCTGTAGCCATACAAGTGAAACTCTGGACCCCAGAGGCCGGGGGGACTCTACAGCACTGTTTTGCCCAGTTAGACTGAGATATGTTTAAAGCTGCAGCCACCTTGGAGGACTTTTCTGTCAGCATACAGGACTATGCTGAGTATGTGACTGGGTACATTAGTACTTGTGTTGACAACATCGTGCCGACCATACAAGTCAGGAGGTTCCCCAACCAGAAGCCATGGATAAACAGTCAGGTACGCCATGCTGCGTACATTCAGATTAGGAAATGAGACGGAGTACAAAGCTGCGAAGTATAGACTGAGGAAAGCCATCACAGTGGCCAAGAAGCAGTACAGGGATAAGCTCAGTGGCTTCTATTCTACTGCTGATTCTGGCCAAATGTGGCAAGGCCTGCAGCACATCACAGACTACAGGACCATCATCAGCTCCACAGACAGCCTGTCGGATGACCTACCTCAACGCCTCCTACACCCACCCCCTAGCCCCCTTGGTATGACAGAAATTTTTTTTTAAAAGGGGAGAAAGAGGGAACTAACTGTGGGATTTCTGCAACAATGGATAGTATTTGGAAATATAAAATTGGATACACTCAAAATGAAGTGTTTACTCCTTTGAAAAAGAAGGGACTGTAGTAATTTGGGTTATGCTGCATGTCCCTGTGTGTATTTGTTTATGCTGAAAGAGAAAAATAACCAGCAAAATCACAGTAATAAAAAGTTTACATTCATATATTAGGGTATTATTGTGCACTGTATTGATTACCGATATAAAATAAATCAAAAAGAGTTTAGCCTTCTTGGGTAATGTGTTCACACATTTCTGAACATGATTTTTTTAAATCAGTTAAAGTTATCTAAAACGTGTGAAACGTAAAAGGTGAGTTCCTCAGGCCATATCCTGAAGGTAGTCATTGAATGTCTGCTGTGTCTAATATCAGCTAAAGGGAACCCATGTTTCTTCTCATGTGCATTAAAAACATATTTTCACCTATGCAGAACTGATATTAGGGAGTTACTAAAGTTGAAACATTTTCCATTTTCATTTTTCCTACCCAATTGTGTAGTCGCTTGTGATAACCGTAGAGGCAGTCGTAGGTTTTCCAACAACCGCGAAGGCAGCATTACGACTAATTGCGTGAGGCGTGTTTGGCCGTGCAAGGACACACGGGGTTGTAGCTAATGACATTTGTGTAAGTTAGATAAGTAATGCTCCTTAGCTTTTTTTTTCCAGAATATTGTACAGAACCTGGCAGGGTGAACAACCGCATCTAGACAACACTGAGTGTGTTTTCGCCTGTAAAAGGTAACAATACACAAGCGTTTGCCAAGCCGGTGGCTAGCTTGGTGCTAGTTGATAGCTAGTTAGCCTAGCAGGTTTAGCATCCAGCACTCATAAACGGCATGGAAGGCAACGTTAAGTTACTGACAACATTTAAGGTGCGATATCTCGAGTCGTAGCGCTATGTCCCTGCTATTTGTGGAGAAAAAAATGTGTTCCAAAACCGTGGCTTCATAGTGACTAGCAGCAACTTAGTTATTTCGAATTTACTCTAAATGATGAATTACTTGTCAATCACCAGGCAAATAAATGTGATAAATGGTGGTATAAATCTTTTTCTTTTAATGCAAAATATTTAAAACCACAATAATGATAACGTTTTGCCCCTTTCTGTCACCAAATGGTTGTTCTTGCTCGACATTGCAACCATTCATGTAGTCTCTCTATTAGAGCAGTGACACCTTAATTTTAAATATTTCTCACTGCATAGCTAGATGTAGGATGCAGTTACTGTGCCTCTTCTTTAGGCTATAAATCTCAGTATCTTCGAGTTGACAGCTATTTGAAGACATCGTGTTAAGTTAGCAACCTAGAAATCTAGTCCAGTTGATTTTTTTTCAGTTTACTATGACCTGGATGATTGAGAATCTGCACAGATCGGATCTAAAATAAGTTACGGTCAAACCAGGCTTCCCTGTCCATTGTCACCAAAAGGTTTATTGCTCGAAGCCTCATTTGACTCAGCGTTCACTAGTGGCACCTACTGTTACAAACTACGAAGTGCAGCCTCATCAATACCGATGAGAGAGCAAATACTGGCCTGTTTGTGTAACTGAAAGAGGAAAGGAAAGTTTCTATTATATGTGATACATGCTACGTTTTAACTTACAGGGAGATAAGAATTAATTTTATTAATTTTGTTTTTGTATTCTCACTGTCAAGAGTTTAATCAAACACGATTTAAAACCTCAATACTAAACATTAACTAAAACTAAAGCAACAAGCGTGCTGTAAAACCTCAGTATTTTTCACAAAATAACCATCTAACTACAATCGGAAAAGTTTCAGGTTTCTCTGTTCTTGTATCAATAGTTTGAATCCATGAATCTCAAACTGAAACAGTGATGTGATTCCGTGAGAAACCAAGGCCTTACTTGTCATCGCTCACGTGACAATGGAGAAAATGGCATAGCTTCAAAGTGAGGCCTCATTTAGCAATGCCCCCTCTGCTCAATACAAGCTTCAGACCTTCAGTGTCATATGCAACATCACTACTTACACATCCTTTTCACTTGTGCACATTGCAGGATCTGAGGATGGAGTTTGGTAAAACATTTATTTGTAGCATGTTTGTGGCTAGATAATTCAGCCTCAGCCGTCACCATGGAATCTTTGATTAAAAAGTGCTGAAGGTCATGTGCTTCTGGCATAGCCCAACAACCTCAAAGACCCTGGTCAGGGAAACCCATCAGTGTTTTCAACTCAAATATTAACAAAAGTTTCTTTGACTGTTCATTTTATATTCTGATACCAGTGTTAAGATTCTGTCACTATGACACTAATCCTGTATTCATTTTCCTTCCATCTGTTGACCCCACCCCAGCTAATTGTTTTGTTTACAAAATGTCGAAGAAGAAGCAGCAGCCCCTTTTCAGTGTTCTAATATATTTAAAATGTTAGTTTTGGCTATTGGTAGACTAATATCGTCTTTGCCAATGCCATTTTTTTTAGAGACTTCAGATAAACTACACCAATTTAATAACAAATGAGACACACATTTCTGGAATTTAAATGGACATTTATTTAACCTTAATGAATTAAGAAAACAAAAATAATGAGCATTGTCTCTCATTTGCGACAATCTACACTTATTAATTTAAAATAAATATTTTCACAAATAATCAAAAAAACTATAAAAAAAACTTTGAATAAAAGATAAATATCTTAGTGCACTTCCCAGTAGCATTTTCCTGAGACGACAGAAATGTGTAAATACTTGGACTGCAACCATTATTTGTCTGCAGATGCATTGGCCGATTAGAGTGCAGGCATCGCTCAAAGACGATCACCTAAAAATGGCGATTAATTGGCCAGCCACTCTTTTGACCATCCAATATTTCAAAACCCAAAATATATTCAGTTTACTGTCATATGAGACAAAGAAAAGCAGCAGTTTGAAGCCTGGTGGTAACTGCCGTGAAACTCTGGAGTGCTCACTGTAACAGGCTCTGCCTTCTCATTTTCATTGTACAAGGAAGCTTGTTCCTTTATTGTGCATATGGCAGTAAACACTTTGAACTTGAATTTTTCCGTTTTCTGTAGTTGGGAATCATCCAGACTCACAAGGTCTATTTTTGCACCGTCCTGTGTGTGGTGGGTGATGGTCAGCTGGTGACTGGGGTTGCCCCAGTAAATGGCTGTAAGCAGAGGGGGTGTCGCTTTCTGGGTGGGATGTGTCCGCAGCCACAGCAGAAGGCAACTCTTCAAAAGACAAGCTTGGACTTTCAGTCAGGTAATGTGCTTTGATTCTAAGAGTACTAAGATTCTCTCTTTTGAGTGAGTTTGTGTGTGTGTGTGTGTGTGTGTGTGTGTGTGTGTGTGTGTGTGTGTGTCATTAAAGGTACAGTAAGCAATATTATTACTTTTTTTTTTTTTTTTTTTTAGTAGAAACACTCCCCAAAACTAATCTTAATACAGGGAGTTGCTGTTGAAGGCTCCTGTGACCCCAGACCCATCAAACAGCCTGGTGCAGAGATATTCCCTTCTAAAGGTTGGCACTCTTAACCAATCAGACAAGGCCACTGTCAGGGGTGGGAGCTCACAGCTGTTATTCAGTATGTGAACTGCATCGGCTCTACAGGTCTCTATTTCTAAGTACTCTATTTTTTATTCTTATTTATCTCATTTCAATGAGCATTCCTTTGTCTGTCTGCATTGTTTGCTGCCTGTTTGTAGTGCTTATTTTGCATTGTTTGCCGCTTGTTAATACTGTTTTTTTTTATATTACACAGTCTTTTGTTGGTTTACTGTTTACTTGCCCCTTGCATGGGGACATGTACTGTACATACACATTGAGAGCCGATGTACCTGAGTCAAATTCCTCGTGTGTCTGACACACCTGGCCAATAAAGCTGATTCTGATTCTCTACTGATATGGTAGCAGGCTAGCAAGCTATTGATTTCAGTGTTAGCTGAGACAGCTACATAATGTCCAGAACTGCTGGTGGATGAATATGGTATACATAAATATGGATGGCCAGAAAATGGAACATTACAGTCATCTAGATGATCAGTGTCTCTGCATCCGCCATGGAGAGAATAGGTCCAGGTTTAGCAATATTTTGTGGGTGAGAAAGGTTTGTTCTTGTAATGTCTTTAATGTGATGATAAAAAAGAAAGTACAATCAAATACCACACCTAGGCTTTTTACGGTCAGAGAAACCACACAGTTAATGCTAAACTGTTGTACTGAATTGGTATGGCCCAGTCACTAATATTTCAGTTTTATCAGCACCCTACACTTGTCTTGTGTTTAGGTCTGTGGGACCCGTTTTCATTTTTCATCGGAAGAAAATGATACGATTAATTATTTTTTTCAAGCTCAGACTCATTGGCCTTGGCTGTATATAAGAACACATGTTCAATTATCACACATTGTGTACCCCCCCCCACCCCACACACACACACATACATTTGTATTCTATACAGGATGTCCGGGTCCAATGGACCCAGGGATAGTAAAAGTGTGTATTGCATAATTCTGACAGCTACATCTGCCACAATACACATTGAACCTCCTGAACATTTTTGCATATGTACTGTGGCCTACCAGTGTTGCGTAATAAATTTTTTTCCTCATACCAGACCCACACACACTGGCTGAGTTACAAGAAGTTAACGTATTACAAAGGTTAAGAAACAAAGCTGTGTGACATCCAGTTTTTAAGGGCAAGTAAGCAGCCTATAAATCAGCTAACTGGGAAAGATCGCCCGCCTTCATAGGTACCTTTTTGACCAACACAAACTAAATTCCAGTTCAGAGCTGGTTCAGCTTGTAAACCTTCTAAAAACCAGTTTGCTTTTCCATGGACTAGAGAGCCACCACTACAGAGCCACATAGTTATGTCACTGTATACATCTGAATTATACCTCTGCTGTCACAGCAGTGCCAGCTCCAAGCACAATAACAACAACAAGGATGAAAAGCATTTTTCCAGCTAATAAAATTCTACATTCCAGGAACAGTTAGTAAAGGTTTAAACAAATAATTTTCCATGGTTATGTGGAATGCTTTATGCAGCACTGGTATTTATCGGATGTAATTGCATGGTCATGAATCAAACTGAATCGAAATGAAGCTATTCTAGACTTTGTGAATTGAAACTGAATTAAGAGATAAGTGCCAATATCTTACCCTCATGTATGGAACCAGAGCATGTATAGCCTAGCTAGGCATTAAGACTGGTAGTGGGAGAAATGGCTAGGCTGGTACCGCTGAAAACCTCTAGCCTCTCCATTACCTCTATGGTGTTTTATGTCACACAGCAGAGGGTTAGGGTTAGGGTTGTTTTATTTATGACTTTTAATGGGAGTCGGTAGCATTGTTGGTACCATTTATACTGTAGAATTTTGCTACTGAATGTTGTAAGATACAACTTACAGTGCAATTAACATAGCTTTATGGTTGTTTGTAGGTGTAATTTTTCTCATTGATGGAATAAAATATTATCAACTGTGTGTGTGTAGTTCTGTATGATAAAGCTAATCTTACCATGTCTTCTTGCTCCTTCAGGCAGCTGACTGGCAATGGATCCATCATACCCACCCCCTGAGTAGTGCATCATGGGCCCTGGCACCCCCCAACAGCCTGAGATATCAGAACGTTAAGCAGCCAATGCTGTCCCACCTGTTCCACAATGTCAGCCAGCCTCAGAGAGGAAGTTACAGTGAGGAGGACTGGGAGCAGTCTCTTGGTACATGTGTGCTGGTGCAACCAGGTGAACCAGACAGATTCCACGCCCTGATGGAAGTCCCACTGTTCAGTCACAATAAACTAGGACAGCTCATTGCTCCAGGAGCTCACAAGTCCTCTGAGTTCTCCTTCCTCTTGACTATGGTGGATGGCAACAGAGAAGATGACATCAGGATTGACAGCTTCAAGAGAAGCGGTACTGATGCTGTAAAGAGAGAACATGGCTGTTTCAGAAGCTTGTTTGAGGCAGAGCGGTGTCCTGCACCATTCGTGTACGGCTCCCAGTTTTATTGTTTTCACTGCCCGGGCACAGAGCCGGTGCCAGGTAGCGGCCTGAAATCTAGTCAGGTTATTGGACTTAACAAGCCTGTGGAGCTGTCTCTGCTGCCTCGTACCACTCTGTGTTTTAATGCAGAAAGAACAGAGGGAGAGCGTATGGAAGGAAATGGTGAAGGAGAGGAGAAACTGGCTGTGATGTATGAAAGACTGCGCATAGAGGTAAGAGTGCATGATATGTCTGGATAACAAAATGTCTACATAGGAGGCATAACAAGCAGCTCATTAGCAGATTGACAGTTTCTTGTGGTCTGAAACTGTCACACAGGATGTGTCCAAGCATAGTACAGAGATGCAGGTTATGTGTTTTAGCAGTGCTCACAGCCATTGTAGTTATGCATGTGATCAGGAAGACCTTAGACTTGAAGCATAAAAATATGCTTCAGCCACAGATATGAATGTTTAGCGCAGGCAAAATATCTTTTCTGCCAAATGCGTGCAATGGATGACTGAAAAACATTGCTGAAATGCTTTCTGCGTAGACACGTGTAAGGGAATTCAGGTTGCACAGAGCAGTTTCACTGCCTATCGCAGCTGATCTGAAGTTCTGCAGTGAGAACTTCTAAATCCAAGCATCTTGTACCCCAACTATGTTGTGTTAAATTTTCTAGCATAATTTAAAGAGGTGGAATTAAATATATCTCATATTTTATTCACACAGATGTAGTGTTGTCACGATACCAATATTTTGGTACCGGTACCGGTACCAAAATGTATTTCGATACTTTCGATACTTTCGATACTTTTGGATAGTTTTTCAGACAAAAAGAGAAGGCAAAAAATGTCATTACTGACTTTATTTTAATAGAAAATCTTAGAATAACATCAAAATAAAATTCAAAATACTAGGCTTTTCTTATTGCACTCAAAAAAAAAAATTTTTTTTTAGAACAGTCAGTGTGAGTAAATAAAAAGTATGAAGTTAGAAGTTCTAACTTAGAAAAAAATATTTTCATTACATATAGCCTGTCTTAAGTAGGACCAGTGTTTTTAAATGGTATGTTACCAGTCTTTATAACATATTAAATGGCTAAATATGTATGTAAAACACTGAACGACTGTGCTGTAACCACATTTAACGTTTTGAAAAAACACATTTTTTTATTAAAATTTAGAAAAAAAAATTCTATGTTTGATAAGAACTCTTTATCATGTGTTGCACACTTAAAACTATTGAACTATTGCATTTGAAAAGGGCACATGTCATGAGTAAATTACCTGTCGTTCCCTGAACTCAGTGTGCAGGTCTGGGTGTTTCCGCCCTTAGCCATGCATGTTTTAAAACATCGTTTACACAATGGCGCATCAACGTTAAATGCCTCTCCTTGCTCATTTGTTTTTATGCCGAAGTACTGCCATATAGCACTTCGCGCCCCTCGTTTGTCCACAAGTGGCGGGGTGGTGACTGTGACACCAGCCATTCTCCTCTCCGTGCTCCTCTCTCTCGCTCTCTCGCTCTCCAACGTCTCTGCTCTCTCCAAGCTTTCCTCCTGCTCCGTTTGTTGCTCCAGTCCACGCTGCTCAGTGAGCAGAGGACGAGGAAGCTGTTTCCTGCTCTGTTTTCCTCTGTTGCGGGCGGGCGCTGCGGGCGGGCACAGGCGGCGGCGCTGCAAGTACCGGTCCCATCCAAATGCAGTATAGTACCATTTTAAATGCCTCAGTACCGCGGTACCATACTAGTACCGGTATATCGTGCAACACTACACAGATGTTTAGGTTTCTCCGAGTCCATCTTCTCTAACTGTCCAGGTTTCCCTCTGTCCTCTAGCTGTTTTGGAACTTACTAACATTATGTATGAGCAGAATGATTGGCGGAGGTCATCTTCACCCCCAGCCAATCAGAGTAGAACCTAATGAATTTTACAGTCTTTTGGTCTTGACCTTGCTGTAGCTGGAAGCACAAGATAGAATACAGAGATATATGAAACAGTCTGATCCTGAATGGGAAGAAGAGAAGTCTGCTGTTGCTGCCTAGTTTCTTAAAGTATTATGTCACATTTTTGAATGTAGCCAGAGGCACCTAGCTTAGTTTGTGCACAGCTATTTTCACTTGGTTCACTAGGTTCTCAGTGTCGTGTTGCACAGTGAAGACTCATTCTCACTTGTCTGATTTCACACCTGAGTGTGATGTGACATTTGGCACAGTTTCAAAACCGCTGGCTCTTCAAACGGATTTTAACTTAAAAAAAAAAATGTAAAAACACAGCGGGTACAGAGTTTAGTAATTTGACAGCAGAGGTGGACCTCTGCCATCACGTTGATCGCTCTCTAACTGCATTTTTTTGCATTCCATCATACCACCTCTGTAAAGCAATTACATTGTCAATATAAATGTAATAATCAGAGATGGCTGTTTTGTGTGTTTTGTATATACGCATTCTTGCCTGGTATTACTCAAAATCTGAGGTCTGAAACCTGTTTATACACTCGCATTGTGGGGACTCGCCTTCCTCACAACTACAAAGGACTTTTTAAGTGTTAAGACCTGGTTAAGGTTGGACATTTAGTTCTAATGGTTATGGTAAGGGGCTAGGGAATGCACTATGTCACTGAGTGTCACAATTATAGAAAGACTGTGTTGTGTGTGCGCCTAGTACAGCTGACATTGTAAACCTGTTCTCACACACACTGTGGGCACTTGGCCTTCATTGGGTGGGCCACATCTGGTCCCTCTCATGCAAGTCATTGAATTTTAGAGTGACCACTTGGTTGCAGGTTATGGAAAGGTTAAATTAGATTAAGGTTACAGTGGGTTTGGCAAGAAAGGGTTAGAGTAAGTCTCCATTAAATGAATGTAAGTCACTGTAAATTCTCCACAAAGGATGAAAAACGTATACATGTATGTGTGTTTAGGATTTTTCTTCCACTTCTGGTGGGGGTCTTGCACTGTACTACAGCATTTGAGCCATTGTTGGGGGAAAAAAATTGAGATTTTGAGAACAAAGGCTGAAATATTTTAATATATCACACAGAATCACTCCACTGCCGAACTGGTTATTTCAAGAATCGATAAGAACAAAATAAATACTATAAATGTGCAACAATAACAGAATAATGCTGAAAAATCAAAATAAGTAGATGCATTTAAATCTGCATCAGAAACGTTTAATGTGATTTATAATAGCAATGTTGGAAA